CCCCCCCTCTGATGGATCCCCGATGAGCCTTGTTCCCCCGATGATGATAGTTACCTCACTTTATTAACTTATTAACTTATTTGGTTCATTAAAGTTTTAAGTAGACGGCGGCCTGCGTGTCCTGTTCTTCCTCCATCCTGGCGCGGCCCAAGTGGGGGGCGCAGGCTGCCGTTCATCACTTGGTGGGAGGCTATTCCTTGCGTCTCTGCTTCATTCCCCCGTTAGGTGGCAATGTGGGCCTGTAGCTGAGTCCCAGACAAGCTGCTGCAGCCCCAGGACCTGGCTGAAGGGAAATGCCCTGGTCCCTGGGTTGGGTGTCAAGCTGCTTGGGGAGCTCAGAGCCACTCCTGCCGCTGGGATAGGGAGCCTGTCTGTCCTGGGTCCCGGCCCCTGGGGTGGCATGTGTGGCAAAGCCATGCCTACCCGCAAAGGTCTGCTCCCCCGTCCCAGAGAGGGGCAGGTGGCAGTCAGAGCCCAGCAAAGCTCAACGTTCCCGCGCAGCTTTTTGGTTCAGCAGGTCGGCCTTTCCCAAGGGCCAGCCTCCCACTCCCCGCTGGCTCGGGGGCTGCTCTGCAATGCCCCTGCCTTTGGGGAGGCTGAAAGCCCTGTGGTCACCTGCGGCCCTCCCCAGAGGTTGCTGCCCCTGAGCTGGGACAGGGGGCACAAAATGACTGATGTCCCGGCTGCGGTAGGGTGGACCCCAGGTGTCCTGACCCCCGCCTAGAGCTAGCACGAAACCCAGTCAGATGGCTGGGTGCGGGGGCATCTCCCATGCCGTATCACCATTATCTCTGGAGCTGGGCCTGCAGCGAAGGATGCTGCCCACAGCTAGCCAGGAAACCGCGGAGCCTGGAAAGGAGGAAGCGTGTGCAATGGAGCCATCGTCCGGACCCTCGGAGCAATGGGCCGGCTGCGTGAGCGAGTGGCGGGGCCCGTGCTAAATTGGAGACGCCCCCAGCTGTGGCACGACCCCCTTCCCCGTGCCTCGCAGTCGTGGGTAAGCACGCAGCCCTCCCTAGTAAGGCAGCGGAGACTCAGGTACGTGCCCCATCTTGCTCCGAGCGGGCAAGGCTGCTGGTGCCAGAGGAAAGGGGGTTGCCCAAGGTTTTGGGCCAGGTTCTACTTGCAAGAGGCAGCCAGCTGCTGTCCCCATGGGGGCACCTTTCCCTCGGGCGCTGGCAGGTGCCACGTGGGCAGCACAGTCATGCCAGCTGGCTGGGATCGGGAGCACCTTGGCAAGACTGACTGTGTGGTTGTGAGGCCAGCAGGGGCACATGGGTTTTATCAGTGTTGTTCAGGCCAGGAGTGGAGAGCCGGGCCTCGTGCCCTGTCAGAGGAGATGGTAGCTGGAGGTTGCACCATCTCGCAACACACCTGGTGCACGTGGTGCTGCTGAGTCCAGCCCAGCTGGGTCCCCCCTGGGGCTGCTGTACAAAGAGGTCCTGTGTGGTGCCCGGGGCAGGGTGCTTGGCACCATCTTCAGCCTTGGGGTGGGCAGCAACCTTTCCGGAGGTCTCACAGGGATTTGCATAGTGATGGTCTTTGGCCAGAGGCTGGGTGTGGAGCTCAGGCCCCTCACCTGGCTGGCTCAGACTGGGCCAGATCCTGTGATGGCAG